TACTTTAATCAAAGTCTCAATATATTCTGTCTATGTACTTCAAATTGCTTTTAACTCTTTAATATTCTCTAACACACCAACTGTCCAATCTCTTGTCTAAACACTTCACGGTCTTCTCCCTAACTGACTCTCTCTCTGTCCCAGTTCTGTTAACTCTGTCCCTCCTGTCCTGTCATAAGCTCCTGCACTAGAGCTGTAAATGACTGACAGGAGTGACGTGTGGGCTGTCCACCACACTTGTCACCCCACCTCTTTGCCAAAGTGGTTAGGAGTGGAGGGAAGCAGGGAAGCCCTAGTTGGGCTATTTCTGCCATTTGTGCAGCCCCAAAAATGACAAATGTGCATGCCGAGCCACAAACGTTCAGTGGACGGCCCCATTCGGGGAGAGGGATAGGGTCAAACAAACCTGGCCACCTGCGGTAGCAATATTCATATTCATCTCCCCCAGGAAACCTATACAAATATCTCACTTACGACCAAGCGGAATTTCTCCCCTTCTGTAACAATTCAACAGGGAGCTTCCTTTCAGCTTTGCCACAGACGTAGCTGATTTTGAACAGCTAAATATGAAAATATAGGAAATCAATAGTATCTCTTTTTTTTTCCTGGTGCATCTTTAACTGAAGAATGAATACTCTGTTTGCTGTTAAATCATGCATTGGCCAGAGACAAATCATTTCTGATCATTCATTGCAATGTGACAGAAACTGATGTATTTATCAGAAGCTTTGTCTGGAGGCAACGGCATGTTTTGTACTGGGACGTGATATCTGAGTTCAGCGCTCTGAGCCATTATGCCAGTTATAAATGTTATAACTCAGTTTACTTCTTTAAAAAAAAAAACAAGGCATGCAAAAGAGAACCAGAACTCAGTGACTTCACATATGTAGTTTAGAACCGGAAAAGAGTGTCTTATAAAAACGCACATGGCATTGATAATTGACAAAGATGAAGAGCTGCAACTAGAATCCCTCCAGGGTTTTTTCCTCTTGTTTTTGTTCCCAAGGCTTCCCTCTTCCCTGCTTCAAACAAGCCAAGAGCTTTTTTCCTGGTGCATCTCGAGGGAGGGAGGGAAGGAGGGAGGGAGAGAGAGAGAGAGAGAGAGAGAAACTGCCCACAACAGTTTGGTCCCAGTGGAAGGATTTCAATCTGTCGTTGGTACTGTCAGCTGACTTGTCTGCAGGGCAATGAAAGAACCCAATTGGAAGTCTTTGCTTTCTATTGAATCTGAGGGATGAGAAGATCACTCGAAGGAAGGGACTCTTTAGTCAAATTACAGGACTGGTGCACAAGATCAGATGTCTTCTCTTTTGTGTGGGGTGTGGGGGTGTGCAGTACTCCACAATACAAATTTTTTTTTATCCTCTATTAAATGACAACTGACTGGATAGCTCCGTGGTTTAGGAATATGGCTGTGGAGCTGGAGGTAGAGAGTTTGGTTCCCCCACTGGGCCTCCTGCAAAATATAGCCAGCCTGTGTAGCCTTGGGCAACCTTCACCGTCCCCAGAGCGCCCCTAGAGGAAGGGAATGGTAAAACTCTACTGAGTAGTCTCTGCCTGGAAAACCCCTATAAGGAGTCACCGTCAGTCAGAATTAACTTCATGGCACACGGTTATTATTAATATTATTATTAAGTCACATAGTGAAATTATTGTGATTTTTTTCTCTCTGTACCATAGGTCGTATCATGGGGTGATTCAATGCCACATTTCAAACCTGTTTGTGACTAAAGATCTTGAAATATGCATTGAGTTATATAGAGATGATCAGATTTTATAAAATGCTACAAATTTACTTTCTTCTCTTTATTTTTCCTCCAGGCCAGCCCTGCTCCCATAATTGTCAACACAGATACCCTGGACACAATTCCCTACGTAAGTTGAGAGGTTTTCCTTGTATATTTTCATTTCCTTGACATTTTTTGGAAAGCTGGAGGTTTCCTAGTTTGTTAATGTTCTCATTCTAGTTGTATTTTACTGGGTTACTTGCTTTAAACATATTACACAGAGCCCAGAGAAATGGCAATTGATTTAAAAATAAGCAACCGAATAAGATGAGCTTGGTTTCTAATGAAGTATGTGATGTTTGCCATTCATTAAAAACCCTTTATTTTTAAGAGGAGTTGAATAGAACTGGCTATGTACAGATGAGTAGGAGACTGTTACTAATATGGGTGGGGAGGGTTTTTTTTTAAAAAAAAATTCTGCTGGGTTTATCATTGGGCCTGGAGGATGAAGTAAAGCAGAATGGACAAGTATGAGTTGATAGGGTTCCTGGGAAAAATTTTTAATCCAAGATGCCATTTTCGCAGTCTGGCCTAAAGGAACAGTTGGCCTACCCTTCTACAAAGCCCCATTCCAAGAAGGTTAACTGGGAGAGAAATCAAAGCTCTCTATGGCTCTGGAGATGGGTTCACCCTTCCCTGGCCACCCATCACGTAGGGAAGACGCAGAGGGTGAAATTGGCTCTGGCTGAAAACTCCAGCTGCCATATTGATTGGGTTGCCAGTAATGGTAGGAGTGGTAAATCCCCTAAAGTAGTGTGATCCCTTGGGGCAGTTAATCAGGGGATCTGATCTATCATCCTAACCCAGTTCCCTGTTGCAGAGTTTTGAATTCCGGGTAAAATTCCGTTTTGTTATGCAGTAAAAGTACAGACATTCACAGAGGAGGATAGTTACAAGAATCCAATAAATTCTCATTAACTGGCAGTCAAAGTCTCAGTAACTCTCAGACATTTGTAGGAGAAATAATAAAAAAATGTTTCTTTACTCACTGTTGCTTGAAATTACGGAAATTGTACATGCTGCTTTCTTTACTGCACACATACTAAGCAGCCAACCAGACAGATCAACAACAAACAGCCTCTAACAAAGAAAGAGAGGGAAAGAGGCACTTAGCAGAGAGGCAGGGCTCTCTTTGACTTCAAAGGCTAGAAGGAACAATTGGTTTGTCTGGACAGGTAGACAATCACCCCAGCCCAGAAAAGTCCTTCCCAGGCAAACCACAAACAGCAAGCTTTCAAATAAAACTTGAACATTCCCCTTTCGTGGGATAAAGGATTGGTTTAGGCTATAAGGAAGAGGCTAGCCAGAAGATGAGCTAACTATTTGGTCTTGTGACTAAATAGGTGAAGCAGATGTTGGGTTTAAGCCATGCATTATCAATTAAAGGTAACTCTGAACATATCCACATCCAAAAGTTTACTAGTTTTATCAGTGCTCTTCTGTCTACTGTTGAGCAGTGGGTGGGGTTGGGGAGCAGAATTCTTAAGAATTGGAATTGTCTCAAGCATCTTTTTGTGTGATGTTCAAATTGCGCACCAAAAATAGAAAAACATGGTAGTACAGTAAATCACACAACACAAAGTGGTCTCAGTGCATACAGACAGGATGATCACATCAGAATTTCTTGTCTTGCACTGTTATGCCATTTGATTGTACCACAGAGGGGTTAACCATGCAACCTCTCTCCACCGTAGTACTCATTTGAACTATTGCCAATTTCATTTTACCGCTGTCGTCAATCTGCTTTTACTGCTGCCTTTATTTTTATTGCCGTAACAATTTTACAGTAGCTGAGCTGACCGGAGGGTTCTGGGAATTGTATTCCAAAAATGTAAATTTTCAGCCAGGAGCATCAGTTCCAATGCAGCAACAACAACAACAGCACACACATACACTCTTGTGCATCTCCCACCTGCCGACACATTATGAAGACACGGGAGGATCAACATTCTAGAGAGTAAAATTACACCTGAGGGAGGGGGGAATTCCCAATCTGCTCTTAATGGATAAAAAAAAGATGTATGTTTTGGCTGATGCATTACATTTGAATGGAAGGAGACGAAAGATGAAAAGAAAAAGCAAACATAGGCATGCACTTAGTTATTTGCACTCTTAAGTTGAAGCCCATTAGCAGTAGTAGAAGCTTTTCTTCTAGGTTCAATGCTTCTGAAATCAGCCTTGTACGCATCAGGGTAAAATATTGGTAATGCTTTTCAAAAGGATGGCTGTGACTGAGTATATATTTAGCCTGGAGCATCTGTACCAAAGCAACACCTCTTGAAAGTTTAAAATAAAATATCTCCGAAGAGCAAAGTATCCACTAGAAAATGGATACTAACAGAGGCTATTTCTGCTGAGGCTATAAGAAGGACAGGGGTAGAATCAGGGGCAAGTCCAAGACATGTTGCTGCCTGAGGCAACAGACATGATTGGGCCTGCAGTATTCCATAGACAGAAGCCAACAAGAGCCCCGTTGTGTGGTGGTTAAACTGCAGTGCAGCAGTGAAGACTCTGCTCACAACTTGCGTTTCATCCCAGGCTCAGCGAGACGGCTCAAGGTTGACTTGACCTTCCATTCTTCCAAGGTCGGTAAATTAAGTACCCGGTGTGCTAGGAGGGCAGGGAGCAATGTGTAGCCTGCGTAATTAAATTGTATACTGCCCAGTGAGAGCTTTAAGCACTAAAAAGGGATGTGGTGGTGCTGCGGGTTAAACTGCAGAAGCCTCTGTGCTGCAAGGTCAGAAGACCTGCAGTCGTAAGATCGGATCCATGCAACGGAGGGAGCTCCCGTCGCTTGTCCTAGCTCCCGCCAACCTAACAGTTTGAAAGCATGTAAAAATGCAAGTAGATAAATAGGGACCACCTCGGTGGGAAGGTAAGCATGTTCTGTGTCTGGTCCCGCTGGCTACGTGACCACTGAAACTGTCTTCGGACAAACGCTGGCTCTACAGCTTGGAAACAGGGATGAGCACCGCGCCCTAGAGTTGGACACGATTGGACTAAATGTCAAGGGGAACCTTTACCTAAAGCAATCACAGCACACTTTGCAAGAAAGCTGATCAGTTATGGTCATGATTTTATGCCTGTTATGAAAATGGGGAAGTTTTCACGTGGTTTGGGTTCTCTATGAGAGCTCTAAAGTGAGAAGGGTTGGCCAGGATGTAGCCCTATGTCCGATCGATATCCACATATGGTATTGCCCAAGATTGGGCAGCTTTGGTGAGCTGGGCAGGAGGTTCAGTTTTCACATGTGCATGCATGCTCATGTGCACACACATTCCCTTGCCATGCGCTGGACCTTGCATTCTCTGAAAGTATATTTTTCCTTCTTTACTCGGTTGGGGTTGTTGCCCTGAAAGTTGTCTCTTTTTTTCTAAACAGACAAGCCGCCCAGCAAACAAAGAACAAAAAAGATACAAAAAGATGTGCTTTGCTCTACAGGAGACCTGTGCTTCCTGGAAGCTTGCAGGGAGCATACTTGGTCCTTCTCTGCAGTGGTATTGATTTATTTGATTTATATCCCCAGACCAGATGGGTGGAATATAAATCAAGTAAATAAATAAATTTCTTCCCCTTAGCAGTGGTGGCTGGTGGCATCATGTCAGCAGCATCCTCTTCCCAGAGGTTTCAGGCCGGAAACCAGGATGAAAGGTGGACTGTTGTGATTTGACAAAGTCCTCACTGTGTCTTAGAGGGAGGTCATCAGGCGTATGTACACGGAAACACCTTTCGGCCGAGCCAGTGAGCCCTGGTGCAATGTGAGAACAGGCAGAGATGGGAGCCAAGGCTTTGAAGACCTTTCCCACAACAAACTCAACCTTCCTCCTCTAGTGCTTTGCACCTAGAGTTGTGTGCCTCCATCTCACAGTCTAGGGAAGCATAACCTGTCCTGAGTGTATGTGCATAGCTACAGTATGGATAAGTCCCACCTGTCTCCCTCCTTTCTATCAGTTTTGCTCAATGCAGCTCAGCTGGTTGGGGATGGGGATTTTGAACCATTTTAAATGATCTTACAAAGTTATATTACAGAGCGACTTGCAAAAATACGAAGTTGTGTTGTCATTAACGTCCTAAGTTCATTAACACCTTCATTAACACCTTAACTAGAAGAGTGGATGCTTCCTTCTCCCCTTGGAAATGTACCTCAACAGATGGGAAACCTTGACCTCTGAGCGTTCAGCCTGGAGGCAGGCATTGCATCATGGCCTCTCCCAATTTGAAGAGACCCTTGTCCAGCAGGCCGAGGCAAAGAGGCAGTCCCGAAAGCAGCAAAATCAGGGAGCTGGACAGGGGACAGATTGTATTTGTCTTCAATGTGGAAGGAATTGTCACTCTCGAGTTGGCCTTCTCAGCCACGCTAGATGCTGTTTCAAGTCCTCCATACAGACCACAATACCATAGTCTCTCGAGACTGAAGGATGCCTAATCAAGATGCTTCCTTCTCCCCATAGTTTATTCCGCAATTGGGTTTTTTTGTCTCTTCAGACTTCAAGTATACAGCCTGGTGGGATGGAGGTGTTAAAATTCAGAGCCCTACAGCACAGGTGTGCAACAAGTGGTGGATGGACTGGATGAGCCCCAGAGGCATTTTCCACCAGGGGGAAAAACACTAATTTGGGAGTCAACCTCTCCCCCATATTTCCATTTCTGGAGGATATAGTTAGGGGCTTTGAAGAGTTAAGAACCACACCTCCAGGCCAGTGGTGGGATTCAAATAAATTAACAACAGGTTCTATGTCCTAATGACGGACGGATGGATGGATGGATGGATGGATGGATGGATGGATGGATAAATAAATAAATAAATAAATAAATAAATAAATAAATAAATAAATAAATGCCCAGGACAGTGGGATCCGATGAGGGTTTCTTCCACAGTGGTCTCCCTACTGCCTATCATCACAACTACTTCTCACATGATTAAGACATCTGGATAAGTGTATCTGTTTGGACATACCGCTGCTGTTACCCTCACCGTGGGCATGTGCCAAACACACACACACAAACAAACACACACCTCACAGTGGGTGCTTATGACCAAGTTTGACAGAAAACTGACACATCTTTCCTTCCCCTTTACCTCCTATT